GAAGTGGGTGGGGCCGGGCCTCTCCCTCCGCCCACACGGGGGTGGACACACCTTCGGAAGCGCGGAGATTTAGGTTTCCGGTTGGAACCGGAAGTAGTGGTTACTAAGACGACGCCAAGCCGCAAGTCGGTGAGAGCAAAGCTGCGTCTCAGAAGTCGGGCTGTGGCCGCCTCCTCCCGCCTCGGGTCCACGTGGAGGCACTGAGTGGGTCAGTCCCCTCCCTGACTCAGGCGTCCCGGTGTGCTCAGGTACCCATGAACCCCACCCGGAACGCTAAATGCTCTTCTCAGGCCGAGGACCCCAAAGTCTTCTTTGGGAGGTCGCAGGCTTCATCATTTCTCTGTGCCAGGCCCGGATGTGATGGATGATGCACGCAACAGAGCTAAGCCAGTCCCGGAGTGTGTTTCTAGCTGGGGAGTCGGTTAAAGTGAGAGAGTTTTCTATTAGGATTATTGAAAACAGAGTGATTTTTTTTTCCCCTGAGGAAATCCTAAAAGGTTCAACATGAACAACGTTCAGGCAAAAGAGATCATAGTGACAAACACAGCTGGACTATGCAGTGAGAAACGGCTCCCAGACTTTTCCCAGTCCGCCTCTGATCTCTTGCTCCCACCTACATGGCTGAAAGGAGCCCCATGAGGCATGTGTGGATACTCCAAGCTACATTTGAATTCTGTCCCATACCTCCGAGGACAGCTGGGCCATAGGCAACTTTCAGGTCTACTTGGGCTCATGTTGGCATCTGGTTCTTCCTCCTGGAGAAACTGGGAAAGGCGTATGCAGACCCTGGTATCATTTGGGCAGTGATTTCCACAGACTTGACTAGAAGAGGGAAATAAGGTTTTGGGTAAGGATATCCTCTTGGTTCCATGAATTACAAATCCTTCCCTGAGGAAAGTGCCATTAAGAAAATGAGCCATCCTTCTCTTACCCTCCATCCCCCCTCCCTCACCCACCAACTCCCTGCCCTACTTTCATGTCTTTTTTGGGGAAGGGGTGTTGCTCTGTGACATACTGGGTTTAACCTGGGCTGCTCCTTTAGGCATGGTTGTATAACAAACAGTAAGAATTTATTGAGTACTGACTAAGTACCAATTACTCCGATAGGCTCACTACCTAGGAACCACAATAAATTGATGAGTACAATATGTCATACTGTCAGGTTAACAGAGGTGAACACAGGTGCTAGCTAGGTTTAGATCACATGTTTTCCCTGTATTCCCGAATTTTCAACACTATCATAGAAATGTAATCATAGTATGTATGTTTTTTCTGATTTCTTTCACTTGCCATAATGCACTTGAGTCCCATTCATGTTGTACATATCAGTACTTGGTGATTTTTATAGTTATCTTTTCACCCACTGAAGTGCACTTGTGTGGTCTCTGGTTTGGGGCAATTGCAAATAAAATGGCTGTATTTAAGAACAGATTTTTCAGATGACACCTAATTTTTTATCTTTCTTGTTTAAATACGTAGAAACATGATTGCTGAATCATAAAGAGGGTTTAACTTTGTAAGAAACTACCAAGTCGTGTTCCATCCTAGCTGCATTCTTTCATTTTCCCACTGGGACTGTCGGTAAAACATCTAATTGTTTCCGCTTTGGTGCTCCTACAAATAATGAGGTCATTGTGCATAAGGCTTGCAAGTGTTTTTATTTCCACTCCTAGAACTGGAATGACTGGACTGTTATCCTGCATTTATGTTTAACTTTTTAAGAAGCCACGAAACTTTTTAAAAAATTGTTTGTTCTTTGTGTTCTTTCCACTCCATCTTTTGAAATGTTCCCTGAGCACTGAAGAGGGTTATATGGGTGTCCCATTTAAAGCTAAGCATTTAGCAATCACTCATTCTCAGCACCTTGCCAGCCATGCATTTTTGCATTAACTGCAATTCACTGCTAAGAGAAGCTTTGCTGAGCAAGACTAAGGACAGCATTGGTCTATGGGTATACATATAAATACTTAGAAGGCAGTTTAACAACATATCCACTTAACAAAACAAGAGTAATGGTTTTCCTCCAGTGCCTATGATCTTCCTAGTCACCAGGCTTTAGCCAGGTCCACAGTGCTCCCTCCTATAGAGTGGGCCTCCCATCCAATCAGAAACCATAAATGGTTATCCCATAACAATCATTCCATTATTGCACCAGTAAGCAAAGCACCCACTGACTAATACATTGGTATTATGGCATTCAGGGACCAAGTCACCACTGCTTCTGAGATCAACATTATCAACCACCCCATGCATGAATAAAAATCTTTTAAAATTATATTTTAATTAGTTTATTAAACAGAAGATTTCCATATGACTTGCTTCAGATGTTCTTAGTTTTGGTTAATCCTTTCCCTGTACTCCATCTTCTTATCCATCCCTGTTTGAAGCTTACCACCCTCATATTCCTTCCATTTCCAAATCACATGTGTTCTCCCATCCCCAGCCTCTTAAAGCCTCTTTCCTCCCCGTCCCCCCACCATGGCCCTTTGTCACTTCCAGGTCTCTATAGGCATTCCAAGTTAAACAAACAAATCTAAAAATTTTAAGCCGTGAGCCACATATGAGAGAGAACATGTGACATTTAACTCTCTGGACATGGGTTGCTTCACTCAGTATAGTATTTTTCAGTTCCGTCCATTTTCCATCAAATTTGAGAAATTAATTTTTCATTACAGCTGAATAAAATTCCACTATGTATACGTAGCACATCATCAATATCCACTCATCATTTGGTAGACATCTGGACCTGGCAACAGTGAGCACGGATGAACAGGTGTCCCTGTGATAGGAGTGGTATAGCTGGGTCAGATGGTAGATGTCTTTCTAGTGGTTTTCTTTTTTATTCTGAGACAGGTTTTCTATGCTTAGCCTCTCTGTCCTGGCACTTGCTCTGTAGACCAGGCTGGCCACTAACTCACAGAGTTAGTGCTGGGATTAAAGGTGTGCACCACCACTGCCCAGCTTAGTATTTTCCTTTTTCCTTAAAGATGTATTTTTATCGTGTGTGTGTGTGTGTGTGTGTGTGTGTGTGTGTGTGTGTGTGTGTGTGTGTGTGTGTGTGTTCATGCATGTGCATGTATGCCTTGTACATGCTGGTGCCCTCAAAGGCCAGAAGAGAGCATTGGATCTCCTGGAACTGGAGTTACTGGGTAGCTGTGAACAAACTGAAGTGGATGTTAGGAGCTTAACTAGGGTCCTCTTGAAAAATAGCAAATGTTCTTTACTGTAGAGTCATCTCTCCAGCCCTATCAAATTATTTTCTGGCTTCTTTTTAAAATGGCAACTTGGATTATCATATGGGTTATGATGAATTTGTAGGTCAATGTAGGGAGAATTGACATTTTAACAACTGAGTCTTCCAACTCATGAATAAATTGTCTCTCTCCATTTATTTGGGTGTTTAATTTTTCCTCTATAATATTTTATGGGTTTGATATACAGATTTTAGAAAGCTTTGATTTCTCTGGCAAGATTGGAACATTTTTATTTGTTTTTTGGAGACAGTATCTCACTATGTAGATCTTGCTGTCTTGGAACTTACTATGTAGACCAGGTTGGCTTTGAATTCACAGAGATCTGCCTTCCTCTCTCTCCCAAGTGCTAGGGTTAAAGGCATGAGCCACTATGCCTGGCAAAAGATCTTAGATGCTAATCTTTTTTTTTTTTTTTCCTGAGACAGGGTTTCTCTGTGGCTTTGGAGCCTATCCTGGAACTAGCTCTTGTAGACTAGGCTGGGCTCGAACTCACAGAAATCCAAATGCCTCTGCCTCCCGAGTGCTGGGATTAAAGGCGTGTGCCACCACCACCCGGCTTCAGATGCTATTCTGTATAGTATTTTTTTTCGGTTTTATTGTTGCCAGCATACAGTTTCACAGTACGTTTTGTATTTTGAACTTATATCCGTCATCCTTGCTCACTTCACTTATTCTAGAATTTTTTGCAGACTCCATCAGAAATTCTATGATTATATGGAAACAAAGAGCTTTAAATCTTCCTTTTCAGTGTGGATGAAACAGTTCTAGCACCCTTCATCCTCTCATGCTGCCCTTCCTCCCTCACCTATATGCCCAGCAGCTACTGAGCTAGTCTCATTACTTGTTTAGTATTTTTGCAAATAGTCCATATGTTGACTCACTCTGCATTTAAGTCTGGAGACTGGTGTGTTTTACTCAGAATAAGATATTGGTTTTAGTACATGTCATATATGACAAAAGACCCATCTCACTCTGTTACCAAGCAGTGCTTCATTATATAGATAGATCCATTTATCTGTTGAAGAATATTCAATCTATTTCCCATATTTGGAAGTTGTAAATGGAGCAATAAATATTTATGTACAGGTTTTTGTGTGAAAGTAGGTTTTTTATGCTTCTAGGGATTGTTGATGTGGTATGTATATATGTAATGTATCAGGCACTTACACAGATAGATTGTTTCCCTGGGTGGTATATTATTTTCTATTCTTAACAGCAACATACAAAGCATACAAGAGCTGAGAGCTTACATGTTGAGAGCAACAACCCCAAAGCAGAGAGAGACACTGGGAAATGGCATGGACTTTTGAAACCTTAAAGTCCACCCCCAGTGACACACCTCCTCCAACAAGGCCACACCTCCTAATCCTTCCCAAGCAGTCCCACCAATTGGGAACCAAGCATTCAAAACTATGAGCCTATGGAGGCCATTCTCAGTCAAACCACTACATTCAATTCCCTGACCCCCATAGGCTTGTAGCTATAACATTATTAAAAGCACATTTAGTACAACTTCAAAATTTCCTTAGTCTTAAGAGATCCAAAGTCTTTAAGACTCAGGCAGTATCTTAACTGTAACCCCCTATAAAAGCAAAAATCAAACCATATACTTCCAACATACAATGGCACAGAATATACATTACCATACAAAAGGGAAGAAAGAGGCATAGTAAGGAAATACTGGACCAAAGCAAGAACAGAACCCAGCAGGGCAAACTCCAAATCCTATAATGCCATGTGTGATGTCAAAAGACTCTTCAGATGACCAACTCGTTTCAGCTTTGTTGGCTGCAACACACTCTTATTTATGTAGCGCTCCCTGGCAGACATACCACAGTTCTGGAACCCTCAACATCTTTAGGTCTCCAAACCCATTCCAGCCTTAGCAGATTTCCTTAACTGCAGAGGAAGATTCCACAACCCCTTACCATCAGAGCCAGGTGACTGATGCTGCCAAGATCTGCTTCCTACTTAGGATGAACCTGGCTCTTTCCTTGCATTACATTGGTATGCGCTTTCCTTTGTTGGTACCTTATAGGAACAGATAATTCCTTAGAACCTTTCCAATGTTGCAGGATTAACTGGGTGAGATCTCACCCTGAGAACACCACTCCCTTTATTACATTTCTCTTTATTGCTTTAAGCACAAAGGCTCCAACATTAAATTTCCTGATGCTCTTTTTCTCCTGTTGTTCTACCTGCACTTTTGCATTGTTTACCTGCATAAGAGTAATTACTAGCCAGTAATTACTTGGGAGGCAGAGGCAGGCAGATCTCTGTGAGTTCTAGGCCAGCCTGGTCTACAGAGCTAATTCCAGGACAGCCAAGACTGTTACACAGAGAAACCCTGTCTCCAAAACCAAAAATAAACAAACAACACCAAAAGAGTAATTACTAGTGACCACAAGATAGAGTCAATACTAGGCTATCTTGAAATCTCCTCTGCCAATGAAATTAATTCAAAACTCTACTCTTCAATTGAGCTTCAGGCAGGTTCTTCAAATAAGGACAAAAACCCAATACATTCTTTTATTACAAGAATGGTCTCCCGAGGCAGTGGTGGTGCACACCTTTAATCCCAGCACTCGAGCAG